GTGTGCCTTTAGAGAAGTTTCAGTTGCAGGTCTATTTCTAGTTGCAAATGTGGGTGAAACGCTCACGCTTATATGGGGACGAATGAGCCCCACTGAGTCGTGGAATAAACAAAGCATCAAAGCAGAAAGTGATCAAAGTGTTTTTTTTCTTTTTAAATATTTGAGTTACTCAATGAATCGTTGAGTTTGATTTTTGATTTGGAAGCGAGTAATAATAAACAACAAATATCTGTGTGCAGGTTCTCCAGTGGCTGATCGTCCATGCAGACACCATTCAGTCCCTGCTGCGCTGCCAGGAGCTCAGTATGGGAGCTTTGCAGGAACTTTCTCTGCTTACTGGCATCATCAGTAAAACAGCTCTGCCAGGTACGAAGATGAGCAGTCACCCTGAACTGAAAGCACAAAGCTCTCTTAATGTTATATCACCCTTATGCGAACCACGTGTTTATAATCAGTGACTCAGTAACTACTTGATGTCTCAGGTGCCCTTGAGATGGGCGGAGAAGTCAACAGCGCTGCGCTCCTGGAGTTCCAAGGTCACATTAACAGATTCCAGGTCAGATGATGCCCTTAGTTTTTATTACATACCAACCTGTTCTAACTTTCACTTTTATCTTGTCCAACCCTCTTTAACCTCTGCGTCTACTTTTCAGTGTGAGATTTTCATAAGTGGCAATGTCTCTCTCTCTTTTTTTTTTAGCGCCTATGTCTGTCTCTGCTCGGCCGTCTGGCAGGAAGTGAGCGGGACAGGTTGCTAAAACAGGCTGAGATCTCTGCACCTGGAGACTCAGCAGAACGGCGGGAAGAGATGGAGGTTGCCATGCAACAGGTTTGACGGTTATTCTATAAATGGTAAAACTGGAGATGTAAAGTGTATTCTCAGTGCTAGCTTCCCAGTTAGCATGTTTATATTTTACGTATTCCAAGTGTGGAGTGGACACTTTGGGGCAAAATCCACAAGAGAGGCACTGACATGTCTGGAGTTTTCTCTCTGTAATCAGGGTTATCAGTTCTGCATCGTCAGTGATTTGAACCTGCTGTCCTTTGTTCCAAGGTTTGTGCTAACATCATGGAGTACTGCCAGGCCCTCCTGCTGCAGAGCTCAGCCCAGGCTCAGTTCAGCATCTGTCTCTTCAGCCCGTCAGGCAGCGAGCCAGCTGGCAGGGACGGCGCACGTACTGGTCAGTGATATTCTACCCTAACTTCTGAAGAATAAGGATTTGGCTCATGCTAATCGTTAATGTGGCTTAGCACTTTCAGTTTAACGATAGACTCTTCCTCCTCTTTTCAAGACCTTTCATCCACTGTGCCATCGATGGCTTACTCTCGGGTCCCTAGTCTTGGTTTGGTCTTGTACCTGCTCAAGAATAGTGCTGCTGATTTCTTCCGGTTCCACCAAAGTCACAGGCAGAGCCTGGGAAAGCTTCAGAGCCTGGATCAGCTCCCACCCGAGGAGCTCAAGGAGGTAATAGATAGGGGTGGGGGTAAAAATCGATACTGTGTAGTATGGTGATATTTTGTTTGCTAATAATGTATGGATACAGGGACAGCAGAAATCGATATTTTGTTACAAAAAGGTTTTTGTGCTCTGACTTCAGAGCATGTTGATCCTTTTTCTGAGCAAGAATCCTGACATTCCTTCACTGTCCAAATGTGTTTAATAAACATGACAGTTTACTTATTTTAATTTAAGACATGTTTTATTTTAATTAAGTTCAAAACTTTTTATTTAATGTAAAATTATATTTTGTTTTAATTTACTTTCAAATTCTTCAGTTGCTGAAGGGGCTGCATAGTTTTCATAAACTGCATAGTTCAGAATAGCTATAATTGTACCAGATGGTTGATTCAGTTAAGTTGGACTAGACTGTAATACAAACCGTTCGTCTGTGAAGGTTCTCAGTCATCCAGGTCATCGTAGTCAAAGGAGCTTGCAAAGAAAAGCGTCTGGACTTCTTTAAGTTACTTGAAGACGTTTCACCTCTCATCCGAGAGGCTTCTTCAGTTCTAAGGTCAAATGGTGGAGAGTCCCAGATATAACCCTAGTGGGAGTGTCCCCCCACAGAGGGACAATAATTTGTCAACAATAAAACTGAAATGAGAGAAAGACTGAGTGTGAGACTTTGATATTAGATAAAATGAATATTGATAAAGTTTACCTTTATGTACAGAATCTGAATATCGCAAAATATTTTAAAAATTGCAATAATATCGTATCGTGCGTTAAGTATTGTGATAATATCGTATCGTGGGATGTATGGTGATTCCCACCTCTAGTAATAGATAGATGCAACAGTGTATATAGAGATATAACCTCACCACCGTCAGTTTACCAAATAAACTTGCACATCCTGCATACGTTTTGATTGTTAGCGTTGTTTCCCGTCAGTTTTAACCACCTTTTCTCTGTAGTTGTGCCAAGGCCTGGTTTCAGGCCCAGGAGGAGTGGAGAAAATCTCATCAGTGCAGAGGAGCTTACTGGCCAAGAGACGACTGGTCCAGCTCATCAACAACAGAGCCAAGCTGCTGGCCTTGTGCTCCTGTATCCTTTGCCCCTCGCAGACACATTAGTAGAAATGGGATTAACAAGATGAAACCAGGAATGATAAATGCTACACTGAAACTGCCTCTGTCCATCCTTTCTGTGCCTTATAGTGTTTGATTATCTGATAAGAGTTATTAAAAAAAATGCCACATGAGAAGCTGTGGACAGCCTTGACCTGACTCCTGCTTAGATGTGATTGAGACGTGCTTATTCGTGCTGTGGCGTCACCTGGAGTACTACTTGTTGCACTGTATACCCACTGACCCCAAAGACTCGCTGCTGCCTGGATCCACTTTATACAGATCACGCCTCGCGGATGGTAGGGGCACATGTTACAGAGATAATAGGTTCATTGCACTTTTTGGGTATTGAGAGCAGATGTGGCATAGACACTGTATGATCCCTGGTTGAGTAAACATGAACATTTCTGTATGTTCAAATTCTTTAGACTCATTCAGCGGGCTGCAGGCCAGCGGAGGCCGAGGACTAAGCCTATCCAGAGTCAGCCAACAAGATCTTGATCTGGTAAGAAATTCCTGTAAACTGGTATGAGTCTCTTGTACACAGTTGTACATTTGGGGCAGCTTCCTAGCCATGCATTAAGCCTCGGCCTAAACCATAAGCCTTTTTTAAATGGAGATTTTCATCAAGTTTTTCCTTCTTTCTCTTGTCTGTGTGATTGCAGCTGAAAAGCGACATGGCTGCAGGATTTGGGGAGGCCCTGCAGAGGAAGCTGCTGGAGGTGGAGGGCTCGTACAGCCAGGTCCGCTCTCGCTATACGTTTATCCAGGCTTTGGTCCGCAGGATCCGCGGCCTGCTGCGACAGCCCAAAAGCTGAGACTGGCCAAGATCCGTCAGTTTGAACTTCTGCCTTCATAACAGGCAAAACCAGAACACTGCTAAGGACTTCACGTCTGGCAACGTCACTCCTTTCTACTGACCCGACCTTCCTCTTCTATAACTCGTAGTGTCAATTTCGATCATGCTTACGTTCACAGTGCAAGTAGCACCATTTGAGGAATTGAGAATGTGGAGAAGAAAAAGCAGAAGAAATTTTTACTTGTTAAACTGTTTGATATTCTTGTTTGTTCGGATGATTTTTGTGAAAATAAACTTCTTTTTCTAAATCGGTTAAATGTCCAGTTCTCACGTTCCTCGCCTAAACGACAGTGGCTACGGGCACCTTTTATTTTTAATGGGTTACCGTCTGCTGACATTTGATTAGCCTGTATTAATAGAAATGTTTTTCAAGCTTTGACTCTTTCAGTGACATTTTCACGCTGCTTTTTTTGTTTTTCTAACATCTTATCACGCACATCACAAAGACGTCGACCACTGGTGTGCTGAACACCAGTGACTGATTTCACCTATTTTTACATGCATGTCTGGGTTTACTCATTTCAAACTTCTTATCAGGAGAAGCAAAACCAGGAACCAAAACAACAAGATGCTCTTTGTGAAAGTAGCATCACAATAGCTGACAGAAGTGGGCAAGCGTCACACCGAAACACACCGCACACCAGGCATTCTAGCGTCAACAAAGCTAGCTCCACGAGTCATTTAATCTCCCTTTTATTTTCTTTGAAGGTACACTTTATAAGACTGTAAAGTGCGTAGATTCTTAAACCTTTGGGAAAGGGACGAGAGGACGCATAAAAATCTAGCTTTTACATTCAGATCTAGCAGACAGACGTTTTGTGCTCTTAGTTTTTATTTGAATACAGGCGACTGGGGGCGGAAATAGTTCAGAGAGGTGAGCACCAGCATTGAGCACGGGGGGAGGAGGGGGGGACGCTGTGGAAAATATAGGCACATTTCCTCACCACAGTCCGTCGTGGACTGTGACTGATCTCTGTGACACATTTCATGGGTTGGTGGTGGAAAAAGAAGAAAATAATCTTAAAATAAAAAAGGATGTACCGAATGCTCTTCTCAGCTGACACACGGAAACAAATTTGTCCCAGGTTTAACAGATCATGCTCGCGTATTCTATAAATTACTTTAAATAATAAAATTAATTACAGCATTAAAAACACATTTACAGTTGTTGCACCAGCTTGCTATACCGATTGTGCTGCTTATGCATCCAAACAGAAACCCTGACACGTGGATAATGATGATCCCTGCTCCTCTCTGTCGTGTAAAAGCTGCCACATTCAGCCAACTCTGCCACTGACTGTGTTTTCGCCCATCGCTGCTACGTAACCGCAGGATGAGAACTAAATTTACATTTGCAGGTAACGTTGCTCGGGGGAGGTTTAGAAATGCATCGAGCATGTCGAACGGAGTCTTCACAGTATTGTTACTATTTTGTGAAAAAACACTGCTGTAACTGGACATATATAAAAATATCCTCTTATATATCAACACTGGAATTATACACTCCATTAAAAACTTGTCATAGGATTAAAAATCGCATCCATCCAGTGTTGCCAACTTAGCGACTTTGTCGCTATATTTAGCGAGTTTTCAGACCCCCTAGCGACTTTTTTTCTAAAAAAAAAAAAGTCGGGTAAACTTTTTTATTTTTTAACAGCCCTCTGTATCTTTAGCATCATTATTGCATCCATACAATATTGATTGTAAATAAGGTTAGCACGTTGTTAAAGCAGGCCATACAAAAGGCGTCTTACGTTTAGCGACTTTTTTTTCTAAAAAACTGCATAGTTCAGAATAGCTATAATTTTTTCTAAAAAA